TTTTTAACAATATTTTAAAGAAATTGCAGAGGGTTAATCATATTATCAACTAAAAAACATATATTAATAAAATTTGAGTATAGAAAATTAAATATTAATTTTGCATTACAAAAAAGGTAGAATAATATTTTTTGCTAAAAATTTAATCATAATATCTTATATATTTATTATTAATTTTAACATATCACTTTTATAATTTTCGCTTAAGGTCTCAATTTTCGTTAGGCCGACCTAGTTAACGAGGAATGATACAAGTAATTCAAAAAAATTAAAACGCCAGAAGAAAGATAAACGTGTAAAGTGGAGAGTCCACTAATTCATACATCGATGACCTTGTCGCGTCTAAAGGAAATGGAATGCTGGTCACCCATATTCTCGCAGATGCACACTACAATCAGTTCACCAAAATTAGGTTTTGGTCATTTCCACTAGCTTTTGTTGCTCCAAACAAGGATGTTTCTGTTCATTTAAATGGTGAGTGTAGCTTAACCCTTATAGTGGTCAAGTCTATCATCTTATCAAAAAGATATTTCAGATCCGATATTTTTCACACCTCTTTAAAAGCCAACTATCCCTTTTTCTTAAGAGTCGTGTCTTTAAATTAACTCAATTTACGATAATCAACTCAGAGAGTCATCATCTTTGTTGTGATCGTGCACCAATTATGGTGAATAGTAAGGAATCAAACAATTAAGAAAGCAGGAGAAAATAACACACAGAGATTTACGTGGTTCGGCAATGTGCCTACATCCACGAGAGCGAGCGGCCGTTCTTTTCCATTATTGAATAGGGTTACATCTTAAGTATTTATATAACCCTAATATTGACGTATTTATAAAAATACCCCTGTACCGTACCGCGGGGGCGTTGCTCCCGCACCCCCAACTAATCAGCGTTCTCTATATATAAATCCCGCTCCGGCATCTGCCTCCTTGCCATTATGCACACAATGAATATGAGCCACACGTACTCTAACAACCTTAAACTTCAACTTGATGTAACAAAAAAGAATTAAGTATAAGTTGCACGAATTTCAATATTAGCAACCAATAAGTCATAAGACCATCATTGTTTTTTGTGGGTTGCTTTCACTTTAGACCGAGAAAAATTACGTGGTCTTTCATTTTGGACCTTAATCTCTTAAGTTCATTCTGCGAATACTTTAGACATTGAATATTTGCAACGTCTTTTATTTTAGACCTTAAACTCTTAAGTTCATTTGGTGAATTACTTTTTGAAAATAAAAAATTCGTCCTTTGAATTCCGACATAGTCTCAATCCAATCTAATTGATGTTGGATGCTAAAATGTTAGGTGGAATGTGTTTGCGTGCATTTTCTATTGAGTGTCTAGATGAAAATTGTTAATTGAACTAAATTGAAACTGTTTTGCCAATTGAAGGACGAAAATGACAAAATTGACAGTTAAGGGGTTAGAATGTGAATCATTGTAAATTTTAGGGTGTAAAGATAATTAATAACTTTTTCAAAGTGGCAAAAGGATTGGAGACGAGTCCACAAATTAGTTGAAGCCATTGGGAATTTTTGAATCCTGATAATTAAATTTTCCTCGCTAATGTTCGTTCAAAAGTCAAAGGCACCCTCCCATTAATGGTAAAAGATAATGCATCTGTCCTTTGATAAGGATTTTGATAAGAGAATTCCACTATCATTACTTATATTATCAGGCCTCCATTTAGTCATGTAATGTGATCCACCAAATTTTGTTCTATCTTTTTGTTACATGGTGTTCACCTTTTGCCGATTACTCTCTCAAATTAAATTATTTTAAATATGAGAGATTTAGATGATTAAATAACAAGTATAAGAGAGTTTAAGTGTAATTTATCCATTTAATTTTAAACGGTAAACTGACAGTTGTTAGTTGGCAGTGTGCATTGGTACCAAATTCTATCTTTTAGTGTGCAAATCGAGATTTTTTATCTTTGAGAATATAAATTGATATTCAAACGATTTTTCGGAGTACAATTTGAGATTAACTTATATAATTAAGCCAAAATATGATAAGATTTGGTCATATTTTGCTCTAATTAAATTATTCAAATAAGATCAAATTGTTAGATCGCATTTTTTATTTTTAATTGATTCAGATATGAATTGCAAAAAAAAAAAAATTATTGAATAATTGAATCAATTTTCAAATTGATTTTAAATTTGGACCAATACAAATCCAATTCGTGGATAAACTTACTATAATAATCATTCTCATGCCATGTTGAAGATAATGTCCTCAGAAATTGCCACTTAATCACCACCAGGAAAACTTATTTTGATTACCATAAGTGCTAATTTGAATGAGTCCTAGATAATAAATTTGAGTTTTATGATCATTATTGATGAAAATAATTAGGATGCAAATGGTAATTTTTCATTTTCACCATTAATGGACGTCTTAAGGATGTAGTTTAGGCTTTCAGCTTAATACATATCTATGTTCAATACTTAATTTTTTCGTATCCACGATTAATGTTCATGAGTTATCGCTAGTTTCATAATATGACTTATATGGCATATTTGAGGGTGCTTCTCTGAAATTTAGATAAAACTTGGGGAATACACTGAAATTATCCTTCTAGTTCCATCAATGGTCATACATATTGGGCCTAAGCCCAAAAAAAATTGGGCCAAATCTACATTTAACTCCTTTCCCAAGTCGGTTAAAAACCCAGGCTTCCACCCCCTTCTTGACTTGGGCTAATTAGGACTGATCAGATCGGCCCAGTTTGAGACATTGAGAGAGACAAATTGGATAAGGCTTGCCCTTTTATTTCGCGTTCTTGTCCCTTGTCCAAATCCCAGTGAGTGAGCCGAGGCAGACTAGGCACCCATAAATTTTGGCCAAGGGCTGTTGTACTAAAAAATATATATGTATCTTTTTGATATCATATTAAAAAATAAATTTTAATCATAAATTTTACTTTTTATTTGTGGTAGTTGATCATAAAAATATAAAAGTGAAATGAAATAATAATAAATTAAGACAATTTGAGACTTGTTTTGTTCTTTTGGTCAAAAAAATAAGGTACGATGACAACAAAAAATGAATTTTTTATAGAATAATTGGATCCCATAAATTACATGATGAAATAATGGTACTAAAAATTTTAAAAAGTAGTTCAATTGATAATACTGATCACTTGTAAACTTAGACGTCCTAAGTTCAAAATTTAACAATTTTTTAGGATTTATCCATCATGATTACTTTATTCATGGCCTAAATGACCTCCATTTGACCAAATTGAATAAAGAGATTTGTCGAAGTGCGCGTAAGCTGACTTGAATACTCTTGACCGTTGATAAAAAAAAAATAAAAAATTATGGTACCAAAATACTATTTTTTGTTATCATAAATTTTTAAAATCTTTGGAAAAAGTTGAGTGCTACCCCCCAAATCTTTTTTGTTAATTGCCTTGCACCCCAAATTATATGACACAATATAATCATTGAATTTTTAGTACAAATTGCTACAACACACTAATCTAATGATCTACTTAGAGTTGGTGCAACAAAATTTGGCAAAAAAGAAAATGATAAGTCTTGTAATGTTGAAAAGCTGTTTGTTTCACGATTTTATTTAGTGTTACTATATTCACAATTAATAATAACATGCTTCAAATTAAAGTATATAATTATAAATACTTCCAAAAGTCATAATACAGCCATGTCTTCTTTTTTTTTTTTTCTTTTGTAACAGGAGGAAATTTTTGGTTTGTCCCCGACAATTAGAAACGCGGTTATGTCGTTAAGACTTATGAGTCTAAGTAAAACTAAGGACAAATCTCGAGTATAAGAACCAATTCCTTAACTCATACACCAGTTAAATCAAGATTTTTGTTTTGGTAAAGATTCAAACCCACGAACTTAGATACGATTTGTTTAAACAATTGAAATCTATCATACTAATCAACTATATTTTTTGTCGCCAAATAAATTTAAATTTTTGATCTCAAGTAATAAAACCTTCACAATACAAAGGTAAATTGTAGAACTGTCAATTTTTGACAAAACACGTTAACACAACACGAATCCAACACGAAATTAATAGGTCAGACATGAAATTAAATGAGTCGATGAGTTAAAACAAGTCAACACGCTTAAACACAAAAAAAAATTATGTCGAGTTCATGTCAGAATCAGGTCGACTTGATTTTGACCTGATTAACTCATATATTTAAAATGGATTGACATGATTTGAACACGAACCCGACCTAACCCATTGTAAACACGTTTAACTCATTTATAACAATATAATTTGCCTATTATGTATGACTGATATAGTTTTAATATTATTACTTATTAGTTCTTGCGTTTATTATGGTAATTGACAGTATAATTTTTAACATTATTATGACAGTTTACTAGCATAGTGCTTACTTTAATTTTTGGATTAAAACTTGAATACATTTTAGTTAATTTATTTGATGATATGTGATATATTATTTGTGAAAAAAAATTATTTAAAATTTTAGATGAATGATTAAATGATGTATTTAATAGTAATAAACAAATGTGAAAACATGTTATGTGTGTTAAACAGGTCTGTGTTATGTGTATTAAAAAAGTTAAACAGATCATATTATTTATGTTAATCTGAAAATGACCTGTTTATTAAACGTGTTAAACAGGTCGGGTTCAGATAACTTGTTTAATGGTCAGATTAGATTAGTGTTTATATTTTTCGATACAATTATTAAACAGTTCAAATTTTAAAATTTTTGACCCAAATTCAAAATCAACTGGACACAAAAATGACTTAAGTCGACACATTTGACACCCATAGGAAATTGGACGAAATACCGGTCGGTGAGCCGTGTCTTTTTGAGCTGGTTTTGCTTGTGAAGTGGGCAAGTCATGTAGGGTATACCAAACAATTAAAAGTACCAAACTGAAAGGAATTTGAGATCTGATTCTGAAACTCAGACTCTAAAAACAATATTTTGGAAGATATATTACTGAGGAAGGTGGTACTGGTACGATTCTTCTTCTATTTCCTTTGTGAATGCAGAGTTTCAGCTCAGAGGCTCTGTATTCATTTCAACAGCAAATGGGTTTTATTCATAGGCACCACCTCCTCCTCATTCTCCTCATTTTTCATGCCATTCTATTGCTCTCTTGTCAGGTCCAATCTGCAGGTAAACATTCTTTCATTAGCCTCCTCTCTCTTTCTCTCTCTCCATTGGCGCAGTTCTAATCTGGATCTCTTTTAATATTTTGCAATTGGGTCCTTTCTTAGTTAGCTGTATTTGGATCAAATTTGAGGGAAACCAATGTGCTGTGCATAATGTTATGTTGCTTTGAGGTTTGATTGAATCAGAATGGTCATGATCTATAGAGTCAATGAAGCATTGTGCATTTAGGCTGATTTGTTGCTTGATGGCCTTGGATCTAATTCATAACCTAATTGGCTTCATGATCTATGCCTCTAATGGGCAATTTTCTCTATGACTCTCATTTCATTCTAGAAAGTAGGAGAATGAACTTTTAGAAAAAAACAAAACAAAATTCCTGAGTTCATATGCTGAAATTTAGATGTTTGCCCCTGGCATTTTCAGAAAAGTCAGAGCATGTCGTGTTTTTTTTTTTTTGTTCAACGGTTAAGAATGTCTGGCCCATCGACTAATTTCTTTGGGTCCGGTTAGAGCCACGTCATCATTCACGCCGGGACTGAAGTATTCACGAGAGATATTCGAACTAATAACTTCTTGGTTTATAACTCGTACCTATTATCGCTTGAGTTACTCGTTCAACTTTCATGTTTTGTGTTTTAGTAATTTCTATTGTCTCATATTGTGGCTTAAACTGGATCCTTTGTTTTTCCCTCTATGCTCTTCATTATATTTCTGCAGCTTAACTGCACATTTTTTGAACAAATACAAACCTAACCCAGGTGGTTTTAGGTGGCCTCCAAGAGACTCTCTCTTCATTGGGGGAAAATCCCCCCAAAACCCAAAAAAAGTGCACACTTTTAAAATCATAGCAATGCACATTATTTGTCCATCTAGTTTGCCAAAGCTAGATTCCTGGACTCCCATCTGAAATCCCTCAGTAATTTTACAAATAAAGCTTTTGAGATTTGATGAAGAGAACTCTCTTGATGACCTTTTTCAAGAGAAACTTCAGAGGAGAGTAAAATGACGCGTTGCTGCATATGAATGTTATCGGGTAAATCGTACCCTTTCCTCTAAATCCACAGCTGAAGTGAAATGAATAGCTCTTTTTGTTGTCTTTGTGTTTATCCATATAGAAAAATGCTTGTAATCAATAATGCCCATACTCAAGCTGTATGCGTTTATCTGGTGGCGTGAAAGCAAGATCTGAAATTGGCGTTGAACAGCAGATCCAACAGATCCAACCTTTGTTTTGCCATTGAAGCCACATAAGTAAAACAGTTTCTTTTAAATGATCTTGAGCTAGAATTCTGTTTCTTGCTTGCTACACCTTTTGGAAATGTGAAGAGAAATTTATTTCTTCAAGGGAAATGCTTCAATTGAAAAAGTGAAGCCTTTAAAAATAAAGCTACCTATAGGAGTTTGGTAATTGTTGCATGACAATTAATTTCACTTCAACCTACAGTATGTATCTGTATCTCAACTCCTCTCAATTTCATTGATTATTGTTGTTGTTACAAGAAGTTGTCAACAAAATTTACTGCAGATGAGAAGGCAAATCTACTTCAGGGCCTAAATAGCTATCGATCATTGGTGAACCTGACTTCCCTTGCTGAGAACAGTAATGCAGACTGCTTTGCCGATGAACTAGCAACCCAGTTCAAGAATCAACCATGTTCGAACACTACTGGAGCAGATACTGTTCCAGGCACCGAACCTCAGTTTTCCAACTATCCTGACCTACTCGCCAAATGCCATCTAAACATCACTGACACTAGAGATGGCGTTGTTATGCCTGTCTGTGTTCCTAACTTAGTCCCAGCTCTTGTGCTCACAAACTATACGGAGTCTCAGTACACGCAGTATCTGAATGACAGCACTTACACCGGAGCTGGTATTGGTTTTGAAGGTGACTGGATAGTGGTTGTTTTAAGCACACACACCACTGGAGGAAGCTTCACAACCGACAATTCTGCAAATTCAGCTACTCCTGTTGGTTTGACTAAAAACTTTATACCTTTGTTGTTGGGGTTCTTTCTTCAGTTTCTTGCCTTGCTGAGCTGATGTACAATGGTATGCTTGAAGTGTTCTGTTTATTCATCGGCTGGTGATTTCATCAGACCCCTTCTTTTTTTTTTTTTTCCTGGCATTTTCAGGGATTATGTAAGCTGAGAATCACTTAGGATATACTTGCTGTTTATTTCACATTTGACACAACAATTTGACAATTTCAGGTTTGTTAAGCATTTCCATCCATCCCTTTATAGAATTTTCAGTGAATTCCTGTGTTCAAATTTCTGCTTATAGTAAGACATTTACAACGTCATCAATCATTCACAATGATGCTCGATCACCGATGACTTCTCGTCACCATCATTTTTCCCAATGAATCCAAAATTACTAAATTCCCAGTCTACACTTCACCCTGGAACTTTAGAAGCAAAGGGTATCATTGAAGATTTAAGTGAAATTACACGACACAGGTAATGTAACTCTCACCCATGTGAGCTCTTTTTGCCCCAGCTGTTAAAACCAGGCAAAAATTTTGCCAAGAGTACTCTTAATCTGCAAAATGTGTCTATTTTGATAGCAGAGGGTGGCAGGGACACAAACTCCTATCTTGAAGCAACTTATTCGGTGCCCTGCTCAAGAAAGACAGCTTGAAACTTCACTCACCAACATTTTGCAAGTTAATTTAAGGAGATCTTGAGTTTCCTCATTGAATTGAACCTTGTCCTTCTTCATCCGCTCTGCTACTATGAGAGGCATTTTACCAGCTTTTGCATAAGTTCGCAGAAGCATATTATATACCTCTGTATTAACATGACCAGCTTTCCGAAGAGTAACTAACAATTGCTCTGCACCCTCTATATTGCCATGCTCCTCAAGGAACTTAAATACTTCTCGAACCATCCTGTCATCAGGATTCCATTTCTTGACACTGCCAACCGCTTTCTTAAAACAATCTAGAACTTTTTCTATCTTCTTTTGTTTCAGATAACCCCACGTAAGGAGCTCCCAAGTAGTGTAACTAGGATTGATCCCTCTTTGCCTCATCCGATTGTAGAAATCCTCAGCCATTTCCATCTGATTTTTGTTGATGTATGATGCAAGAAGTAAATTGGGAACCCTACAGTCACCAGTCCCAGAAACAGATTCCCACTCAGTGTAAAGTTTCTCTGCCTCTTCAAACTCTTTAAGCTTGACTAGAGAAGATATCATGCATGTATATTCGGCATCATTCATTTTACGGAAGATTGCCTTCATCTTTTTCCATAGCCGGTAAACCTCATCCTTATTGCCCAAGTTTGTGTGCAAGCTAACAAGGGAGGAATATGCTACTCTAACTTTTCGAGAGGCCCTTTTCTCCATTTCTTTCAGAGTGGAAGATGCTTTTTCATTGAGTGAACTTTTAACATACATGCTGGTCAGTGTGCTATATGTTACCCAGTCCGGTTCTATTTTAGCCTTCTTTAGCTCAAGAAAGATCTTTTCTGCAGCTTCAACATCATTCTGCGAGGCACACATAGTCAGCCACAAATTGTAAGTGACTACATCTGGTGAGGTGTTCTTCTTTAGTTCCCGTATCACTTCAGGAACCTTCTTTAACTGCCCATTTGAGATGTAAAGAGACAGCATGTGGTTGTAAGGAAGGGGATACTTCAAGAAACCACGTTCTGACATTTCCTCCATCAGATCCTCGGCTTTAGACGACTCTTTGTGCTGTACATAGGTGTGGAGAAGGGAAGTACAGGTAGGTTGGCCTTTCATTTTATCTGGTAGATCTTCGAAAAACTTTTCTGCACTGGTTAAACCACGAACTTTTGCAATCAAGTCCAAATGTACAGCATAGTCTCCCGGCAACAGTTGAACATCTTCTTGAGATGTCATCCATTCACATATCTGTGCAAATAACCAAGTTGAGGTTGTCATTTTTGAGGAACGTAGTGCTGATAATAATCTCAGTGAAATTTAGCGAAAATGTGTCGCCTACATTTATTTTTTGTTTTTCCTTGAAAAGTCTAAAAGAAATAATGGTACATAATTCCTCATATATTAACCTTTTTCCCTTATTTTAAAAAATTAAATCCAAGAACATCCTGTAAAACATGATCGGAACATTTGTGAGATGGCTCCAACATGCATATTTGCAGACCAAGTGAGTCCATAGGGATGAAAATGCATGCTAACCTGACAAGCAAATTAATATAACCAAATATGGATGGTATAAGAAATGAGAAAACAAATTTTTGTTACAATTCTTTCAACATATAGAAATCCTAAAATGAGACATTAACAAGTCTACAGAAGCAGAAACCAGAGGAAAATGGAATTCTAGCTGTAGATGCTGGGTATGTTTAATTCCTGAGTATAAACATAGATGCAACCCGTAGGGTAAACCAACTTGATTATGGTGTGACAAGAACCATGGCTGATAGCAAGGCAAACCTCAAACAAGGCCTTTACATAGCAAGGCACTTTCATTTCTCATTTCCTCCCTCCTTTCGTAGTATTTCTGTAATTCATACCAGTCTGTTACGCCCACAATGCCGAGCTCAATGATGAGTGACCATAACCAATCCAGCCATTTACTAATGTTCATAAAACTAAAAAAGGCTTACCCAGAGGCTCCCGCCATAGGGCCTGGAGAGGGTTAGATGTACGATATACTGTTTCTGCGACTCAAGTCCGTAACCTGATCTCCAACTCACAATGGAGCAACTGTTGCACCAAGACCCAGAAAAAGGGCATTCTCATTGAACACAACCCACAGTTCAGCATTACTAAATTTTTCTTTGAACTATTCACAGTGAAGCATTTCATTGTTCAGTTTTCATCTTTCAAATGCAAGCCTAGTTCTTTCGTATTTCCCTTCATTCCTCTCTCCCAATGCCAAACACGCACTCAAATTCGAAGCCCACAATATCAATTAGACATATACTCAGTTCCCAAATAATAAAGTGATACTTGAGCATTATATCATCGCCAATAATACATATAGTTAAATATGACTCTGTGTGTGTATAGAGAAGGGGGGATGAGAGAAACTAAACCTCGAGGGCGTGTTTGTAGCGCTTAAGCTTTCGAAGCTCACGGACGATGCGATTGAGCTCGTACTTGCGAACAGCGTGCCCTTCCTCTTTCCATTTATGTATAGCAACGACGGCGCTGCGTTTCGCGTATGCGAGACTCAGAAGCCTCCTACCCAGTGTGTCTCGGCCACCGGTTCTTGTGACGGTGGCTTCAGAGGATGCGAGATCCGCAGTCCTAGCAGCTTCCGTCGAGAAGTAGCGTACGGCGGCAAGGGATGGGCGGAGGCGACGGAGCAGCATTTGTTAAACCCGCGATTTGTAATCGCTATGTTCGTCGTTCAGTGGATCACCCTCTTCAAAGTTCAAAATGTCTCAGTGATCATGGGCCCTGGTTTCTAACAAAGGGCCACGAGTCTGGTGGAATACAGCCCAAAAATACACTGGGCTTTCCTTCTGCACTAACGCGTTTCATTATTGGGCGTTTAACCTCGTTGGCCCAGGGGTTCTACACATCCTCATTTGGATTGACGATCGAATTTAGTTATTTGGTATTAGTCCGTTTTAAACTGGTTTTTTTTGGGTTCGGTCTGTTTTGAGCTAGTTTGTTTTTTAAATGAACCGAATTTGAATAATTTTAGACTTATTTAAAAAAATGTGAAAATTGGGGTTAAGTTCTCTTGGACTTATTTGAGGATAAGTTCATTTTTTAATCTTATTAGTAAATAGTTAAGTCTATTTTTTTTTAATCTCAAAAATATTTCTAACGGTGTTAGTTTTTCCATATATATATATATATATGGAAACCGGTGATTAAATATAGGAGTGCTTGATTTACGACAATAAATTAGAAGATTTCCTTAATAATTCAAATTCTTATCAATTTTTGTTTTGTTATGCATTTGAATAACAGGGTTTTGTGTTTTGGGGGAAGGGGGTGAAGATGATAGAAGTAGTACCCAGAGTTCAAAATTGTTTGTAGATGGACTACCAGTTTGAGTTAGAGATTATGAAACTATAATTCAAGTTCTACTTACTATTTGTTAGAGTTCGGATTGTTCTTGAATTTGTGTGTTGGAACAATCAGATCTGTTGAGGTATTCAGTATAATTGTTGTTTTTTGACATTGCCATAATTTGTATGTTACTTGTCGGAAATTTAATTTAACTTATCGGAATTTTTACTGCAACATACTTTACGACCATTTGAGAGTTATTTTCTTTATTCGATTAGCGATTATATGATTTGTTTATTGTTGATACGCCAAGCCACAGTCATTGTATATTTGTTCTTTATCAGAATCTAGTAAATTCATTTTTATGTTTGCACAGTCATAGTAACATGAATGTTAGTGGTATAGACATAATGCAGTACACAAATTTATTTTTTTTGAAATTAGTTTATGTTTTTATTTTTTATGTTACCATTTGTGTTTTATTGGAATTAGAATTGACATGTTTTCGTATTTCAATGTTTTTCCTGTATATTTGTTTTTTTGGTTGAAATAGATGGAGGATAACATATTAGGTTGCTGTCAGTATTCCTTTGAGACTGTTATTATTAGAATTTCAATGAATTTTCACTATTGATGATGTGTTACACGGTGTTTGTGACAATTAAAATGGTTTGAGTTCTAGTTGTATTGTCTTGTTGTACGCTATTCTTGGGCATCCGCATTAAGCTTTACAAAATGATCATGACATAAGAAACATGTTTTTAGTTGCATGGTTTGTTTACCTGAGTTATGTTGATGTTACAGTTATTGTAAAAGGGAATAAGGTTTGTGATTTTGAGGGTGGAAAAGTTGTAGAAAATTTTGAATTATCTGTTGACACTTTTGGTCGTGAGGATGATTTTCTCCTTCGTTTTTGTTCTCACAATGAGAAAGTTTTGTTGATTGATAGATGGTCCAATGGAATAGTAGACATTGGTTAGAAGTTTGAGGGAGGAGTTACTGATTTTTAAAATACTTTATGCAAATATGCACTCGAAGTTGATTTTCAGTTTAATTATGTGAAGAATGAAAAAACAAGAATAAAGGCTGAATGTGTTTTGAAATATTCTGTTGGATGTGAGTGGTTTGTTGTTGCTACACTCCAAAAGATTAATTGGTGGTTTTACATTAAGAAGTTAAACAATGAGCACACATATGGTGCGGCTACACGTACGACAAAGAACAAAAGAATGACTTCTAACTTGGTTGGAGGACTTATTATTGACAACATTATGCAAAAACCTGACACACGACCAATTGATGTGAAAAGTATGTTTCTTTCAGATTATAATTTGACTATATCATATGACCAAGCTTGGATGGGTGTAGAAAAAATAAGG